TTGCACTCATTGTCTCCAATTAACTCAGATTGATGCCAATGCGTTGACAATTTGTCTAAATGTATGAATGAAATAGCAATTATTTCAAAAATGTGTTTCCAGTCAGTCTGAGTCAGACTGCAATTATTTGGCAACAAGTTACCTCCCATCAAAATACCTGTTCAATTACCTTATTAATCCACAGTGGTCACCATTTGTCATTTATTCCATTGCTGGTCAACCTCTGTGCAGTAAGTTTGTCACTGTAACTGTTTACAATCAGTCACAGAAAGAAAACATTTCAGACACTGATTTTCTTACTTGTCACAGGTGGTTGTTGTTTTTATTCTACTGTGACTGAGACATAACTAACACTGTTGTGAGCCAGATGCTGGTGCTAATCATCTCTTGAGTTTGTGCCAGTCACATTCTGTTTTGTTCTCAAGAAACATTATCGTTTCCTTCACTAGAAAAAGAGGGGAGCCAACTAATTGCTAATAACTGTCAATTAGCAAGCTCTAGTTTTGATTTGGCCTTCTGGTCCTGGAATCACATCCATGTGCTTTTTTGGATGGCTCAGTATCCTAAGTGTGAATGTTGTTCTTTCCCCTTCTGTGCTCGTCTGTTTTGAAGATAAAGGCTTTACCAGACTTGTTATCAGAACTACCGCTGCAGTAAATATACATTTTACCCCAGAGACCGGAGGTTTCCAGCCGATTGCATTGTTTCTAGGCCTGTTTCGCTACAGCAGTGAGAACACTACTTACTACAGCCTTAGTTAAATGATTGCATGTTCATTTTTTACTGACAATACATGAATTTAACTGGGCTTACGTTCTTCCTATATATTGTTATTCTGACTTGAGGGGAATTGAAGTTCATATTTCATTTACTCCATGAATGCACTATAAACCATCAGCATAATATGTCCTAAATGTTGAGTGGATGGGGCTCATAATCGTTATGATTTTCCTCAAAAAACAACAGCGATGGGATGCAATTGGTCAATTTGCTCAAAAGTGGAAATTCAGCTTCTGGTTTTTACAAGCAAATCCAGCATTATGTTGTGTCTGGATCTTAATGTTGTCACTATATTTATTAATCATATTGACTATTCACCCTAACTACTGTTCCCTGCTGCAGCCAGAGTCGCCACACAGGAGTGTCCTTGGTTTCACAGATAAACTGTCAACAAGCAGCTTAGAAACATACTTCCTCTAAATCGCCTCATACCCCTAAGTTAGACATTTCCCATCTGTTATTCTGAGCTTACCACATTCCACAAGCTGCCCTTTTATCTTACTTAAAGAAGAAAAAACAGTTTTTCAGTGTTTTACAAGAAACACTGAAATTTACTGGAACCCAATGTCTGTCAGTTAAATACGGAAATGGCTTCCTGTAAAACACAGTACTGTATATTAAGTACAGTACGGTTAAGCTGACTGACCTATAAACATCAACTTTTCCATAGTTAACAGCCTAAAAGATATAGGTTACAGTGGAAGGCTAAGACTGTTGGTGTGTGTGTTAGTCCAGTAGTCAACTGTTAATACCAAAAACATGTTGGAACAATGTAGCCAATGTGAGTTTGGAGACAAGGGCACAGATAGTGAGATGTGGAAGCTAGTGACCAAACCAGCAGCAAGGACTGTATCATACATCCCTGCACATGTGTGCACTGATGCACACGTTTGTACACACTTTTACAAGCTTGGAGACCTGTGTGCACATCCTGCATTTCTCCGTACCAACAGTTTTGTTGTTTTTCCATGTATTCCACCCAGCAGAAGTGAGAAAAAGGAGAGCAGAGGAAAGAAGGAAGGCAGAGTGTGCACTCTTATTGAAAGTTGCATCAGAGCCCCTAGACAGCTTTGTGAATTTCAGCCCAATTAATCTCAAGCTTGTGAGCAGAGACTGCATAACAAGACTCGTCTGTCTGACCTCAGGCCATCTCAGAGTATGTGTGTTTGTGTGTGTGTTTGTGTGTGTGCCTGTGTGTGTGTGTAACAGATAGAGTAAGTCAAGGGATGATTGTGCAAGACTCGTTCCCTGTTGTCACCTTGAGTATGCATGTGACACTGGAGCTTGTGTGCGCGCCTTCAGACGAAAAAAAAAGGTACACAGATGCTAAACAATACAGTTTTTATTATTTCCGTCTGAAAATATTTTAATTGATAATTATGTTATGACAAACCCAAACCCAGTAAAACACAGTTAAGTCATTCAAAAAGTGACAGTCTGCGTTGGCAAATCATCTGCAGGAAGAGCAAGTAACTCGCATCTACTTAAAGGATCCCTTCAGGCCGTCTCTCTCGCTAACCCTAAGCCCGCTATCAGTTTTCATCAGCGTATGTGTGCGCTTGTGCACGTGTTACTGTGTGCACACTAACATACTGCATCATCTTTCTGCAGAAGGTCGCTCCTAATCTCATCATTTGTGGATTTTCTCCCTTCAGCTGTACAATCCCAGCTGAATACAACTCTTGTTTCCGTTTTTGTTTTTTGTCATCCTGACTCGTCTGCAGGACAGCAGGCATTCTAATCCAAGATTTGGGTTTTTAGCAAAAAGCCACCATCTGCTAGCTTGATCTTATCATGCCATAAAGCGTTTTGATGGTAGACATTTTGAGTAAAAACATAATATGAGCAACTAGGTACTAAAATTAAATGTAAAATCTCCATTCTGTGAAGAGTATGCCAAAGGTCATCTTTTATCCTCCAACTTTTTGAAAGTGATTATTATTCAGTTTTAATGTGTCAAACCCAGCTATCTTAAAATAAAAATGTAAATAAGTTTACTCGTTAGCAATGTTCCCTCTAAGCTGCTCACGTGCGCAATTGCGCACTGTTGGCACGGTCTCTGCGCATAGAAAATCTGCGTTGTGCACACAAAAAAACTAACCTGAAATGAAATTAAAATTAATACTTCAACAATCATGTTTTGCAGTGTTAGTGAGTAAGTGACTGGCTGCTCCCATATGGGATTAGAACAATGCCACCTTATCCCATAGTTCAGCCGATGCGTATATACGCAGCCAATCAACGTCATTGACAGGCTATGACAGCGTCCTTATGTGCCGACACCGGTGTTTTAGCTAGCAAAGCGGCGTGGCTGATGTGGAGTGAAGCCACGTTAATGACAACGTGTACAACCATTGGAGATGTGAGCAGGACAGACGGAACAACTGACGGAAAAAGTGTGGACTTTATACCAGTTTTTAAATTGTGTTGATAGGCCACGTAAAACCAGAGTTGTGATAAAAATATGCAATGTTTGGTTTTCTTCCTGAATACTGTCGTTGTTTATATTTACTGCGGGAAGAAATGGTAAAAACGGCGTTTTATAAGCAAAAAGGCCTGTGAGCAAAAACACCCCCCCCTCCCCGTCCCCGTCTTTCCTATTGGTCCAAAAAAGTACCATGTCGACCAATCAAAAAATGGTATGGCAACGTGGCATCTTGTTGTTAAGAAACGGGGGGAAGTTTTAGGAGTGACGGCGGTGTTTTGAGATGTGAGAGATTTGAGACGTTTAGCACAAATCTTGTGTAGTTAGTGTGTAGTGTAGTCAATAGTTTTGTTGTGTGTGTCAGAACAACGAGGCGACTGCTGAATGTTACAGGTGTTACAGCAGTGATACATCTCCTGCTGTCAGGCCTGCAGGTATCAGGCTGTTGTTCTCCTTTATCTCATAGTGGACAGAAATTATGTTTTGGAGTGGCACAAATAATTTGTGTGGCATCAGATTTGATGCAGAACAGCTGATTGTTCTGTAAATAGTTTGAAATGTTTATTTTAAAAAACCGCCTTGGCTGCATTTAGAAAAATAGCTGCAAAAACTTTGTTGTTTGCCAAACTGAGTTACTTTTTTGAAGAAGTAACTATATAATTAATTGCCCAACATTGGTCATCATATACTGTATTTTGCAGACAGAGAGTTACAGGACTCTCTCCCAGACCACAGACTCATACTCATAATACAAGTCAGAGCTTTATAAAAAAAAAATTATAAAAAAAAAGTAAGTTGTGTTTTTACTTCCAATAGTGTTTGTCATGGTCCTGGGCCATGTTGGCCCAGTGTTCTTAGTTTCTTGTATGTTTGTATTTTGTTCCCTGTTTAGGCTCTGTTTCCTGAGTTGCCCTGTTGTGTTGTTCCCTGAGTGCTTTCCCTTTGTGACTCTCACCCCCTGTGTGCCCTCTGTGTATTCATGAGCCCTCGTCCCCTTTCGTGTTTATTCCGTGTCTCCCCTGCCCGTTATGTTGGTGTTCTCCCCGTGCTCTCTTTCCTCCTGTCTGAACCTCTGTACTTCCTGTTTCGCCTCTACCGTCAGTGTTGTGTTCACTCCTGCCATGTCCCGTGATTATTATCAGTGTCACCTGTGTTCCCCGTGTGCTCCCACTTCCCTCATTAACCCTCTGTGTATTTATGTCTGTGTCTCCCTCAGTTCTGTGTCGCGTTCTCCCTCATGTTGTGTGTGCTCCTCCCTGTGTTTCTTGGCGAGCTTTGTATTTAGTTATCCCAGTTTAGTTTTGTATGTCCTACGTTCTGCCGTGCCAGCATTAAAGCTGTGTTCTTTAAGTTTATCCCCGTGTCTGTGAGTCTGCATCTTGGGTCCTTCTCCTGCCTGCCACACAGCGATCATGACAGTGTTAACATACTACACAGTTCATGAACAAGATTTATTTATTAATTTTTATTGTAAGTGGGCTAAAGCAGTTAATTAAAAGTAGTCTAACATAAATGTAAGTGCACACGTCTGATGTCGCTCACATTGGTCAAAGGGATCGCTCAGGGAGTTTGTGTGTTCGCTCAGACACGTGAAAAATTAGAGGGAACATTGCTCGTTAGTTACTTTTTTCCCCAAAGGTTTTAGAAAAATCCAGTTTTTGTTTTCTAAGCAGGACACTTCTTTCTGTGCATAGAGAGTTTTAAGGTTTTGAAAACAACTTATGAAGTGTGACATTAATGCACGTAAATGTAAAACAATTTTTTCCTGCACCTCTCCATCATTCTGTTCATTTAGGGCCGTCTGCTGGTGAAAACTGGGCGTGTCCACCTAGGCGAGAAGGTTCTGCGTGATGCGGTTCAGATCCACAGCACCTCCCACGAAGCGTGGAGTGGACTGGGTGAAGCTCTTCAGTCTCGAGATTGCAACCAGGCCCCCGACTGCTTCTTGACAGCCCTGGAGTTGGAGGCCTCCAGTCCCGTCCGTCCCTTCACTGTCATCCCCAGAGAGCTCTGAGATGACGGCCTTGCAGTAGCATGGAGGTTTGGGTTGGGGTGAAGATTTTGGCTAAAATCTAATGATGAGCTGACGAAAAGACAATGGAAACATGAGCTTTAAATCAAAAGTTAGTTTTGGGTATTGGGTCTGTTTTCTTGCTGTTGGGGAGAACAGACTGGTATCACTCATGTATTTACAATATTTGAAGACAAAATAAAATAAAATAGTATCTATTTCCCCAACTAGTTGGCAAGTGGTTGCTGTAAGTGGCTGGTGGTTGCAAGCATCTAATTTGTTTCAAAGAGGTAAATTATGCAGCATGGAAGACCTTGATTTGACTGATTTGGTTGCTATCAGGTTGCCACAGTCAGGTTTGTAGTTTGAAAACTTGTCTGCAAACACTTGCCGAGTGGAAGTGAAACTGAAAAGTTCAACACAAACAGAAGATCGAGACTGCCCGAAGTTGAAGTAAAAGTTGTGTCTTTCATGCAAATTACAAACAACCCGGACAAGATAATGATGACAATCAGGTTTTTGGTGCAGCAGCCTCCAGCAGCCACTTGCCAACTGGGGCTTTGCAGGACTATGTTAATTATCAATTGTGGGAAAAGTAAGACTTTTTTTCAACCAAAAGAAAAAACCAAGTTGACCAAGTAAGTGCACTTGGTCTGGAGAATTCCCAGTTAACCAAAAAAAAAAAAAAAAAAAAAAGACCTCCAGCATAACCAGTCTCAGGAAGGGTGCTTCCATCCCTGTGTGCTGCAGTGTGCTGCAGGTCACTAAATTGAAGATATAAGTTTTCATTTTCTGAAAAATATTTATTTTTATTTATTTTGCTGTTTTGGACTGAACTAGGTGAGCTGTCTCCTCGTGTTTCATATTTTTCTTAAGCGTGACTTCAGGTTTAAGGGACAGAGGTTTGAGTGGTATTTATTTACTCATCTAACTCTAAGTTTGTTTTCCAAAATTTTAGCCATTCCTTCATCAAGTATATTTTAAAGAACAAACCGTTTAACAAATCACTTTTACCTCAACTTGAAAAAGTAATTAATCTCAGCAACTTTCTTTGTTTCTTTGATAATCCAATTGTTCAGTCTGACGTCACTAGCCGTGTCTGGGCCTAAACTCCGCTGCAGGTCCATATAGCAAACGATCACTATGGCATTACTGAGAGTTGAAAAACTGTCTAAAGTCTTTCATCTTTAATAAAATGATCAGCGTTCTGCTCTACCAGGTGTAACAATTGAGTTTAACATCCAGGCATCCATGAAAACGGAATTTATGACATTTAACAGAGTTAGAAGTTAGCAGGGAGTTAGCTCGCTAGCTTCTATCTAAATACAATATAGCATGTCCTGACTGCGGGGTTTTGGAAACAAATTAAAACGTACAGCTCTGCTATCACTTCCAGCATAAATGAAGACAGAAAACTAAACAGCAGTGACGTTTGTAGGGTTACTGAAGTTGGGCTAGCTGGTATATAATGATGTGCTACGTGACCACTAGCGACACAGCTAGGTTAGCATAATATAAACAAGCTAACTTTTTTTCCCACTCGATAAAAGTTAACGTGAGTGTTCTCGGTGGTCAGGAACAAATGTAATCGCATGTCAGGATGCTGTAAAAGGACCAAACTTCAGCCAGGAGAACAACTGAGATAATCCATCCATAATACGAGGTTAGTCATTCATATACTGCTGCATGGGCTGGGCTGTAGTTACATCCTAAGGTTTAAAAACTGAGCTTAAATAAATGATTAGTGGTAATAAAAGCCGAGGGAGGTCAACAGGGATCACTGACTGTTTTAGGAGCTTTTTGAGATCAAATAGAAGAAAATACATAACATTAAACATGTTAACAACACAAAAGCCATATTAAACGCAGACTACTTTAGACCCGGAAGTAGGATTCGTCGCATCATCACTGAACAACCGGATTATCAGTTTAATAGCTCCATAGTGTTAGAAGCTAGCAATGTGAACATTGCTAGCTTCTAACACCACCAATTGTATTAATGCAGTTTGTGCGGATAAAGAAAGAGAGGGCTTTAGGTCTTTGCATATAAAAAACGGCTGTATAGAAAGTTAATATTTTAGCATAAGTAGCGTTCTGTTGTAAATCGCCTATGGAGTCTATGGAGGGATATTTTTAATGATCGCAATCACCGGGTTCATAAATTCAGAGATGTGCCAGTTACATCTTGACATAAAAAGCATGTTGTTGTGTTCTGATACATGTGGCAGTGCAGATAGGTGGATATTGTACATGCTGTTTATCACAGCAGCAGCTCCACTTCATTATTATTTGGACCTTTGATGTATTTTTGATGATGGCCTTGACTGGTGTAGCTTTTTATGCACGCATGCAGGCACAAACACTCCCTCCTGCTCATCTTCAAAAGAACCAGCATGAACACGTCATTCCATATGGCATCATTATATGTGTGTACATGATGTATTTTAATACATGTGTATCTGCTCCCTCTGAATGATCCCTCTGGGATGTTAGCAATCTTCTGTTTGTACGGTACAGTAGGCCCTCATCCATGCACATATGCATGGGTGTGTGTGTGTGTGTTTTGGGGGGTGGGGGTGGGGGGGGTGCTTGACTCATCTGTTCATAATGCCGTCCATTATAAACAACAATGGCTTTTAAAAATCACTGCTGGATTTTGTATCTTCACCTGCCTTGTCACTTGTGACTAATGGGCATCACTTCCGAGTGCCTAACCACATAAATGTGAGCAGTGGGACTGGGCTGCTGGCTTATGTAATACTGCCAGCACAGTTTTCTGCCTCCAAACTCCCTCCTCCTTTCCCTCCCTCTTTCTATTGCTCTCTCTTGCTCTCTCTCGCTCCCGCTAACCCTCTATGTCTCTTGCCCTCTCCCAGCTTGGCTGATGTGATGTGATGTGGCTTCGTTGCCTAGCAGCCATCCCCTTGTTTGAGTAACTGGGGAAGTGGAGAGAGATCTGGTCCTCTGAACAGCATACATATACAGTGGGAAGACACAAACAGTCACTACACACACATACACACAGATGCACGACGTGTGGTTTTACAAGTTTGACAGTGTCTGTTTGATGTCTGCTGCTACCATGTGAGAAATGAACCAGCTATAATCAATGTCTCGGGCTGGTGTAAATTGATTTGTGTTATGGGAAGAGTCCCTGGCTTTGCTTTTAGAGAAAAAAAAGCCGTCTGTTCTTCTCCCTCCCTGCAGCGTTGCAAGCACCAATCTCTACCTTCCCTGTATTCTTTTTTTTTTTAAAAGAACCGCCCACGCCCCGATCGCTCTTGGCATGAAAATCCCTCATTCATCAATACTTCGATTTTTGGACATGGAGATTATCTATCACTATCGCCTCTTTTCTGCCATCGGAATAGTCTATTTTTACTCTCTCTCCCTCCTCACTCACCGACTCTCCCTTGTTCCGTCCTCTCCTCATTAGCACCGTGTGAGACACCTACACAGGGGCTTCGGGAGATGAATGGTCTAATCCTCAAGGGGAAGGAGTGAAGTATTACATGGTGCACAAAGATACACACATACTCTGACAATGAGAGACATGCGATGAAGTCATTTTGAGGTACAGCACAAGTATATATGCTTAAACATATAGTATACACACACATGTACACACATTCATACTTACACTGTCACTGTGATGCCACCCATGCACATCACTCTGGTGTCACTTTCATACCTGAGCAACACACCCTCCACACCTCATGATAAACAAACGTACATGAACCGCGGTGACCGTTTTGGGGGAGGTTTCTATGCAAGCGTGGTATTCAGGTCATCAACGTGGATGCCAACCCGGCAGGGGCACATAGAGGGCACGGGCTGGGCTGGGCGGTGCTGCTGCTGCGGGGCGCCAACAAGGAAACTGTAAACCATCACTGTGATGACCAAACAAGGCTGGGGAGTCATGGATGGGTGAGGGGTGTGATGGAGGTTATAAGGATCAGATGTGGTTTCATAATCTCATTTATTAATAAAATGACAGATGCGTCGGAGTTGATCCCCAAGGGGAAAATGTGTTCGAGCATTTTCAGTGTTCACGCGTTGACATAAGAATGTATTCAAAATGCTGTAAAAATCATTTGTAAAATAAAAATGAAAATGTTTTGATGATTGAGATGAATTTTCAGTTAAAAAACACTAACAAAAAACCTCAATAAATGTTTGCCTGTAGTTTTACTATGAGTTACACTATGGTGCTGTTAATAGCTTCAAATTAGCATCTGCCTGAATCAATATACTTTTGGCTATAATGAAAATGTATCATCATAAAATCCACAAGTGTCATTTTCAAAGGTTGGCTAAAAGGCAAGGCAAGTTTATTTGTATAGCACAATTCAACAACAAGGTGATTCAAAGTGCTTTACAGAGACATTAGAAACACAAACAAATAAAAATCATGATTTAAAATTGATTAAAACAAGCAAACAAACAAACTAACTAATTAACAAACAAACAAACAAACAAAACAGTATATAAAATCAAAACAGATAAAATCAGAACAGTAGATAAAATCAGTAGTTAAAATGTAAGTTTTGAAATTTAAGCTTAAAAGTGTGGATTTGGTGCTTTATTCAAATGCAGCTGAGAACAGGTGAGTCTTCAACCTGGATTTAAATAAACTGAGTGTTTCAGCTGATCTGAGGCTTTCTGGGAGTTTGTTCCAGATATAAGGAGCATAAAAGCTGAATGCAGCTTCTCCGTGTCTGGTTCTGACTCTGGGAACTGATAAAAGACCGGATCCAGATGACCTGAGGGATCTGGAAGGTTCATACTGGGTCAGGAGGTCACTGATGTATTTTGGTCCTAAACCATTCAGAGCTTTATAGACCAGCATCAGAACTTTAAAGTCTATCCTCTGACGGACAGGCAGCCAGTGTAAAGACCTCAGAGCTGGACTGATGTGCTCCACTTTTTTGGACTTAGTGAGGTCTTAAAAGACATATCTAACATATCTAACATTTTTTCTCATGACTGCGTGCTTTCTGCAGACTTACTGTACTAGCTAGTAGGCAGTTAGCTTGACCTAGCATAAAGTTTAAGCTAATAGAGGAAAAGGATTTTTTTTCTAAAGGTAAGTAAATCTGTTTACTGTAACTTCAAAAGGTCGATATTTAACACAATGTGTAAAGTCCAAAGTTGTGGAATTTATGCCATTTTTTTTAATAATGCAAAATAGATTTTTGTACTAAGCTATGCTAGCCTTAAATTTACATTTAACAAACAGATATCAGAGCTATATTTACTTTAGTGCCATTCCACAATTCTGACTCTTATGTTACAATTCCCAGTGTTACAGCCTGACAAAAAGTGTTTACAGGTTGGTATACAAGACATTTTTGCCACTGCTGATAGACGGATGCCAACACTGTTAGCTAGCTATGGATACAAGTTGCTAACCTTTCTAGTATTATTAACTTAGCCCTCCACCTTCCTGTGTGAATAAGGTCAGTTGTAGCTCTGAAAGAATCTACATGCACCATCTAAAATCCTTTGCCAGACACTAGAATATCTGATATACCTGCTTATTGATATAAAATAGGTGTTATATTACTCTCACATTGTTGCCACCCTGCTGCCAGCCTAATATTTTGGACATGCTCTGGCACTCATTTTTATGAGGCTGAAATTTTCAAGCAAGCAGGCCCAATAACGCCACAGTAAACAGCAGCCTGGCCAGCAGTTTGTTGTCTTCCATCAATCGCCAGATCCAAAACTTGATAGCCCTCCAGCGCTGTTGGTCCACGTTCCACACACTGTGCGCCAGCACCATTACCCACTTATACAATGACCCCCTTGTTCACTAACAGTTGCTCATTGGAGCTGATTAAATTTTTAAATGTCATTTAATAGAAGTGTAATGTACCTCCTTTGTGTCTGTCAGGAGCTTGAGATGGGCGGTGAAAGGATACCTAGTTAACCTCCCGGTGTGTCGGACCGCCTGCTAAATTCCTTGGTCGTCACCCTTAGTGTAGGGCTGTAGTGTTGAAAGTGAATGAGCCTGAAGCCCTCTGAACATAAACCTGCAAATCTCTTTGTCTATCCCCACTCCTGGTGTTTCAAGGTGATGTGTTATAC